CCACAAAACTGTTTGCTTTCACATCCTATCGTATAAACACGCGGTCGATCCAAACATGTTTTTTCGGTCGCGGACTCCGATCAGCGCTACGAATGATCCCTCTCTCTCTCTCTCGCTCTCTTCGTCCGTACTCGACTGTAGTGGAATTTTGCCATCACACCGAGTTCACGTGTACCAACGTTGGGAACGCGGCTCGATCTCGAGCACCGATTCTTGCCGATTCTTCGATGCGTTCTTACGCGATACGCGCCGAAATACATCGGAATGCCGATACGCGAGGATTATCATCGGCGTAACACTGTTCTCTGCTGTTGTCTAATATATTTTCCAATGTATAACAAATTTCGTTGTATTTTCTAGCTCGGTAAAGACAGACAACGTCGCTGAATCCTCTCGTCGCGATGGCGAACGAATATGAAAAAGTCGGATTCTATCGAGAGATTAGGCACAGCATTCTATTCTATTGAGGAGAGAACGCTACTTCGACGGGGAATTCCTATATAAAGTTGCCGTTCGACAGCGAACGTAAACACACACGGCTTGATTACGTCGCCCCTGTTTTGGAACCAAGGGCTCCGGAACCAATTTATTCAAAATTCGAGCGAGCGTAAATTATTCATGCTTCGAGGCAGCGTGTGTGTGTGTGTGTGTGTGTGTGTGTTAACCTCGTCCTTCTTTCACCTCTTTTTCGGCACGTCGGAATCTGCATACACGCCAGTTCTTTCCCGTTTGCACGAAAGTCGCCAGAAATCTCAAACGAAGAAAAAAAATCTGCCCGTTCCTCGGTGCGTCGTCGTCGTCGCTACACGAAAAATTCCAGGAATTTTCAGAAAATTTCCAACGACACGTCTCGTTCCTTTACCGCGAGATACTCGAGCGAACTTGAAATGGCGCGAACAGACGCTTTGACGTTTCAACGCGCGAGATATTATCGTGGACACTGGGGATTTTCCCGCCATAGGGAAGATCAACGACTGAACAACCATGATCACTCGAGAGAGGCAAGTACGTGGTGAAAATGGAAATGATCGATAATTATTACCAGCCACTGGGAGGACGCGTCTTTGAAAGTACAATGTTACCACACTCGTCGGGAACACAGTATCGCGATCCGTGGGAAACGTTGCTCCAGACGATTCTCAGATGTTTGACCGAACAGAGGAATAGAGCAGAGCTCTAGCAGAGCTTCGTTCTCGACGGGACGTTTCGATGGATTTTCATGAATTACAAACAGTCGAGTTTCATTGGCTGAGGAACGTTTAGCCTGTTTAGTCAACGGCGGCGAATTTCCCTAAGCGACACTGCGGCGATCTGATCGGAAGAGAATTTGTAAACAGGAATGCACGTTTCCCTCTGTTTCCGCAAGAAACAGACACACTTGGACGAGGCGAGTTGGCCGCGCCGCGTCACACTCGATCACACCTTTCGCGTACTGGCTCTCGTACTTATTTTTCTTCCCGTACATAGTGCGCACGCGATCAATTTACGAGATAGAATGTCGCGAGGGCTGTGTGTGCTTTCCTCTTACCTTGAATAATTTTTTAAGCCTCCGGTAGCCGCGATGTAATCGCGACACGTACTGCTTGTTGGAATCCAGTTTGAATTGTTAAAGCCACAGTTGCGGGAACAAAAGCGAAGAATGGAAAATTGTGAGAAACCGAAGGAAAAAAAAAAAAAAAGAAAGGAAAAGAAAACTGTATCTGCTTAGTGAACTCCCGTGGAATCAGGTATGTGTCGCGGCTGTACTTTTACAATTATACGATGCGAATTTCCGACAACGTCTCGATTATACTTTTCTCGGATCAGTCTCGAGTACATATATACATATATACACACACATATATATATATATATACATATATATGTGCATGCGCGGGAACCGAAGAACGAAAAACACGTTCGTGGCCGTTAAGAGCCGTTCGCTTACTGAATTCTACGCCTGGCGTGTCCCGGCTGCTAACCCGCGCTTTCCCCCCACCATCGGCCACTCGTTGGCGGCAAGCTCCCCCACCACTCCATCCAACCCCACCACGCGTTTTTCCACCACCAGAGCGCCAGACCCGCATCCGGGAGTGATGGAGGGGAGATGGAGGGGTAGCAATCCCTCTACCTCCAGCATTGACGGTAATCTTACCGCGGATCGTAAAGCACGCTTACCCCTGCGGTCAAGTGCGAAAATTGCAATGAAAGCATCGAGACACCTCCGGTCTCTTTCTCTTCTTTTCTTTTCTTGCCCCTCTGGTATGACGGTTTTTCCTTTCTTTCCCTCACTGTGTGGGGGGGGGG